GGTGTGTCCTCTAGACCTGCGATGGATAGATGAGTGAGTCTTAATGATCCAGTAGATCCACTAGTGCTGCCATCTCCCTAAGCACTTGGATATTTTCTTCTATGTGACACCACGCAAGTTCTGGCATTCCTACTTCAATGAGTGTAGGCCACCTTTGTGTTGATTTTTATTCAACCAACAAACAAAGTGTTAGAGCCATCCGCAGCTCCTTGGGCTAAAGCACTAACTCCTTCCAAACTCTGGAGGGGCTGCTCATATGGAAACTGGGATTCCCGAGTGTGGCAGTCCTGCTGTGGCAGTTTAGGGAAGAGGAAAGGCCTGGCCGGGGCTGCCACCCACCACACCATCACGCTTCCTAACTGCCTGCTAAACGGAGTCCTGGGGTCATTTATCTTTGCTCTAGTTCTGACTGCCAAAAAAAGATCTAGTTTTTAAAACTGAATAAATACGTCAAAATTAAGATTGTCAGATTTCAGGAAAAAAAAGAAAACAAAAGGAAAAACAAAACAAAACAAAACAAAAAACAGGATACTAGGATGCCCAGGTAAGTTTGAATTTCAGATAAATAACAAATACTGCAATTGTCGTATATGGGATGTAGTTATACTAAATAATTATTAGTTGCTTAACTGAAATTTAAATTTAACTGGGCATCCTATTTTGCTTTTTCAACTTCAAATTGTATTGTTTTTCCATTCAGTATATCAACTGTTTCCTGTTTTAAAACTAGTTCTGGGCCAGGTGCAGTGGCTTACGCCTGTAATCCCAGCACTTTGGGAGGCCAAGGTGGGCATATCACCTGAGGTCAGGAGTTTGAGACCAGCCTGACCAACATGGTGAAACCCCATATCTACTTTAAAAAAAAAAAAAAAAAAAAAAAGAAAAAAAATTAGGCATGGTGGCAGGCACCTATAATCTCAGCTACTCGGGAGGCTGAGGCAGGAGAATTGTTTGAACCCAGGAGGCAGAGGTTGCAGTGAGCTGAGATCGCGCCATTGCACTCCAGCCTGGGCAACAGCGCAAGACTCCATCTCAAAAAACGAACAAACAAACAAACAAACACTATTTCCATTTGCACCCAGAAGTACACAGAATTGAGATGAAAGAGTACACAAAATTGAGATGAAAAGGAGACAGCTCATGAGATTTCAATCTTTCTCTCGTATGTCTCTACTTAGAATTAACAGGAATTGTTATCAATGTAATCAATGTAACAGGAATTGTTTTTTGTACTGGAAAGTAATTTACAGGCAAAATAGAAACACCATCAGCTTTTCTTGAATAGACTAGCCATATTTTGCTTTTCATCGTTTGTTAGTTTTCTATTGCAGTCGTTTATGGAAAAGTGGAAAAGCTTGTGCTATTTTTATCTTTAGAAAACTGTGTTCTTGGTCTGACATGGGAGGAAAGCCTTGTTAGCTGTCAATGTTCCAAATATACTACACTACTTAAGTGTTCGGGCCATTGTGGCTGGGTCATTTAGCACACACTTTTGCTTTTCATTAGCCATTTCAGACTCAGCCACCATAAGAGTTTGCCGATCTTTATTCTCTATACATTCCATGTTTTCATTTGGAAAATCCTGATAAGATTGTTCTTTGAGTTCATTGCTGTGTCTGTAAACAAGGGAAGATTATGCCATTTCCTCTGAGATTCCTGTCCTACGCATTGGAGGAGAAGTGGCTGGAGAGTCCAGACTACTTCTGCAAATGTGTGAAGAGAATTTCTGTCCTTTCTCCCCCTTTTCTTCAACCTTTCTCATCCTTTTTTAGTATAGGATGGAGTACTCTCTTCCCTGGTCTCTCCCTTGACTTGCCCTGGTGATTTTATTTGCCATGGAAGGTAATTCCCGATGAGACTGTGCTCCCTGTGGGGGCACCCCCTGCTCCCTGGTCAGTGATGGGGGTGAGAGGTTGTGCCCATGGGCATCCCGTATTTTAGCTGCCAATTCTACTTGGGAGAAGCGACAAAGGCCCAGGCACTCAAACTCCTCCAGCAGATGCTCAGAGTATATTTCCAAGACGAGTAACACCAATGTAACGGAGTGCCTGGAGGCTGAGAGGCTTTTTAAAAAATAGCCTTTTTGAGGTATAGTCAACACACAACAAATCACATTTAAGGTATACAATTTGTTACGTTTTTGACATACGTATAAACCAATGAAACCATCACCACAGTAAAAATAGACATATCCACTGTCCACCCAAATTTCCTTGTTCCCCTTTGCAATCTATTCCTCTCCTCTCCCCTCCAACATCTCCAGCAACCACTGATTTGCTGTCGATATGGATTTGTTCGCATTTTCTAGAATTTTATATAAATAGAATCATAAAATAAGTACTCTTTAAAAATATCTGGCTTCCGGCTGGGCACAGTGACTCATGATCCCAGCACTTTGGGAGGCCGAGGCAGGCAGATCGCCTGAGGTCAGGAGTTTGAGAGCAGCCTGGTCAACATGGCAAAGCCCCGTCTCTACTAAAATTACAAAAATTAGCCAGTTGCCTTTGTGCATGACTGTAGTCACAGCTACTTGCGAGGCTGACGCATGCGAATTGCTTGAACTCAGGAGGCAGAGGTTGCAGTCAGCCAAGATCACGCCGTTGCATTCCAGGCTGAGTGACACAACGAGACTCTCTCTCAAAAATAAATAAATAAATAAATAAATAAATAAATAAATAAATAAAATAAAAATAAAAATCCGGCCTCCTTCGTTCAGCATTTTTAGATTTCGTGCATGCTCCTGTGTGTATCAATAACTCATTTCTTTTTGTGGATGAGCAGTATTCCATTAGGCACACAGGCCACTGTTTGCTTATCCGTTCACCTGTTGATAGACACACTTTTTCTAGTTTGAGGCTATATAAATAAAGCTGTCATGCACATTTGGGTCCAAATCTTTGTATGGACATACAGGCTCATTTCTCTTGGGTAAATACTGAGGAGTGGAATGGATAGTAGGTGTAGGCTTTGTTTTTGGTGACACTGCCAATTTTTCCAAAGTGATTATACCATCTTATATTCCTACCAGCAGGGTATGAAAGTTCCAGTTGCTCCACATTCTTTTAGAAGCTAGAAAAATTGCCATTTAAAATGTCACCATCAATTTCTTTCTTTCTTTTCTTTTACGATAGTGACCGGCATTCGCCTTTGGAATGGAGGGATCCTTTGTTCTGGGAAGGACCCTTGAGAGGCTTCTTGCAGTGTTATCTATTATCTGTGCCCACTCCAGCTCACCTTGAGGTCAGACCCACAGCCCTATTACGACTCTGAAAGAGTAGACCCAGCTACAAGGCCTCGGTGAGTGACACAAGGGGCCAGAGAAGAGGCTGTGATCATGGGCTCAGCAAAACTGAAATCCCTGACATATATCATTTTATTCCTCTTCCTAATTTCTCTCCAACTGACGGCTGCTTCATATTTCCTCTCTGCCTCCCTCCACTGCACTTCCCACCCTCATATCTCCAAACCTCTCTACTTTCCTGAATAATTCACCTCAACTCTAAATTCCACATTGTCCTCAGGACAAAGCCAAACCCTTACTTAACTGAGTTCGTTCTCCCTGGAACAGTGGTGCTCAGAAGGAGGGCCCGGGTTAGCAGTATCTGCATCCCCTGGGAATCTGTTAGAAATGCATATTCGGAGGTCCCACTCCAGACCTCCTGAACCAGAAACTCAGGGATGGGGCCCCGAACTCTGTGTTTCAGCATAGGGCTTGCGATGTGTGCTGGCGTTTGAGAGCCACTGCCATGGAGTATGGTTTGGAGCCAGTTATTGTTATATAAGTATGTCCCTTGGGGGTCTCATCCACTATCCTAATAGGCTTTTTGAATGTTTTGTCTAACACAAATAGGGGGTCTTTTGTTATGGGGTGGCATATGGAGAATTCTCATGTTTGGAAAATCAGATATTCTCCACCTCATTTCATCAATATAGAGCAAATTTCCTTCCACCACTATCAAGTAAGACTTTAAGGACCCCTTTTAACTGGCCAGAGACTTGGGTTTTAATGAGTCAGACATCTCTATGTGTCCCTATGTGAGATGCTGTGCCCGTGGGTATCATCATTTTTGGCTAGGAAGGCACGTGCCTCCTGTGAAGGAGAGACAGGGTTCCACTGCTTTCCTGTAAGATTCAATGCTGTGAACAGGTGCCTGATGCCAGGAGGGAAGAAGTGTGGGCTGGTGCCCTGGAGTGCAGCAGTAATGGGTGGCCTGGGTAGGTTTTCAGCAAGTATCAGTGCCAATCCTCCAGTTCTCTTTAGTGCAAGCAAGATGCTGGGCCAGCAGGAGGAGGCAGCCAGCCCAGGCCCTGTGTCTGCAGGACTCAGCTGTGAGCAATGATTGTCCCCTGGCAGCAAGGTGCTGGTAGCTTTGAGCCCTCAAAGGGCCAGAAGCAAGATTATAAAGAGACCAGTGAGTGTGGAGTCCAGTTCTGAACACCAGGAACAGGAAAATGGTTTTAGGATCAAGGATACATCATCCTTACAGATCTGGGGGGTCGCCGGGGAGGTAGCTCACATGTTGAGGTGACCTTCTGCTGATGTGGCAGGTGGGAGCCTGTGTTCTACTGACTCAGCCATAGAAAGGAAGTGGGACAACATTTTGTAGTTATGTGCTGGTGAGGCCTGAGGTATGTGTTATACTTAAAAGGACAAAACATTCATTTTGTTAGACATTCTAAACAGAATTTCTCATTTGCTTTTGTTAAATCTCCTAAGATTCCATAGTTTTGATAAAGTACGAGAAAACATCAGAAACCTTGGGTTAGGGGAAGCTGGGGACCTAGGGGTGTGGCGAGTGACCAAGAGAATTTAGAGAACTTCCTCAGAACAAGTTACCTTACCTCTTTTTTCCCACAGCTTCTAGCTAGCTGGTTCTTCTCATCAACTGCAAGAAAATGCATCTGAAAAATTATTCCCATATAAATGTGCTGCTTATAATTCGGAATGTAGTTAAATTGGTTTTAAAAGCAACTTATGAATTATTTTAAAATACATTAAATAGATGTTTTAAAATACATTTATTTCATGCAGTTTGTCCCCAGCGTTTGGAGTTCGACGTTCCGGACCAAGCGTAGGCTCTGAGCAAACGCTACCAGGGCTGGAGAATCAGTTCTGCCACTTCCTACTTGTGTGATCTTAGACAAACTTCCGAGCCTCAGTTTTCTTCTCAGAGAAATGAGACTAGTCCCATCCACACTACGGACAAGTGGTTGGAGGCGAAGGAGCTCACGTTTGTAAAGGGCCTTGCACGGTGCCTGAGACAAATTCAATGCTTAGCAAATGTTAGCTCACCTTTCCCGTTTCTTCCTGTATCCGATTTTGTAAACAAGTGTGTAAAAAATTTAAGTGAAATAATGCAAAAAGATGAAAATCCATGTTTAGTCATCTTGCCTTTGGTGGATGCTAGTTTACACTTCGGTGGAACGGTCAGGTTCTTCCCTCGATGTGCCTTGTGCAAACCGCCGCCTGGGTTGACGTGGGGTGTTACTACGCCGATGGAAAAAACGGCAGAGGTATTTCCTAAATGTCCCATCAAGAAAGACATACAGGAGAGGGTTGACGCAGCAGTGGGTGGTGGCGATGAGTTTAGTGATGAGAACACTTTTGTCCAGGTTGTAGTTGCTCTTGCAGTCACTCAGGGAGAAATGTTCTTTGAAAGTGGACAGGAAAAGTGCGATATTGTAGGGCGCCCACATCAGAAGGAAGACTACCATTATGGCAAAAACAAGCTTGAAAAGGCTATACCTCTGCTCCCCGAACCTTAGTGTTTTTCTCATTTGCACATAGAGAAATGTAAAAATAAATAGGGGAAAGACAAGAACCGAAACATTCATTTTTAAAGTCAGAAAATGCTTCCAGAATGTCTCATCAGCTGGCAGGAAGGGAGTTCTGCTAAATGCACACTTGTATTTCGGGTCTTCCATCTGAGGTTTATAAACCGCAAATTCGGGCACAGTGGCCAGAATGGCTGTTACCCACGCCACGGCACTTGTGACGATGCCACAGGGCACCCTCCTCCTGACTGAGAAAAAGTTTCCCTTGTGCAAAAACACTAGGTACCTTTGCACGGTCAGAAGGCAATTGAAAAATGTCTCACTGTACAGGCCTACAAAGTACAGTCCAATGAGAATTTTACACATGGGATCGCCACCAGCGTGAGCCCAGAAGGGCAGGGTAAGCAAGAAACACAAGTTAGAAACTGCCAAGTTTAGAAGATAGATATTTTCCACGCGTTTGAGTCCTTTATATTTTACCAGGATAAGCACAACCAGGAGATTGTCCAGGACACCGACCACGAACACAGCAGAGCAGAGCGACGGCACCAGCTGGGCTGAGAGCGCCCAGGTATCATACCTGTCACATTGCTCTGCCTCGTCGCTCTCCAGTTCACCTTCTATGAGGACATCATATTCATCCTCTGGTGCCAGCGTGTAATTGGCCATATTCAGGCTGCCCTGCGGAGAAACAGGAGATGATTTTCCCCTCCAACAGCTGTCTTATCCTGGAGGAAACAACAAACTGGACCCCGATTCAAACAGCCCCACTTTCCCTTTCTGAAGCTACATTTTAGCCAGAGGAGTTTCCTATTTCAGAAGACTGAAATAAACATTTCTTTCACGTGTGCCCACTTCCCATCTACTTGGGCACCATCCTCAATCTACTTGTCAAGCATGTAAGTGCTTAGCAGTGTTCCAGGTGCCACGGGAAATAAAGCTGGCACGACACCGTCTTTGTAGAACTTACCTTCTTTCAGCAGAAACAGGACTTGCCTACATGAACACAATATGAAAGAAAATATATCATTAAAGAGAACCAAGTACCATGGCTTGCTTTTAAGAAACGGGTGTAGATCATAATTTCTGCATGTTTAAGAAGTTTGCTCACCCCCCAAAGCAGCTTCCTGTAACAGCTGAGATGTTTTTCTCTTGAAGGGTATAAACAAATGTTTGCAAAAGTGAAACCATGCTCAGCATCAACATGGCCATGAGGGGTTAAATACATAGATGACATGCAGATGACTTACCACTGGGCCGAGCTCCTGGGGGGGAAGGGCGCAGCCTCCAGACCCAGCATCCGGGAGCTGTGGGAATGGCCCCAGACAGTGGATGGCCTCCTTTTGATCAGACTGCTCCTGACCCTGAGGGGCACGAGAAACCACTGTGGATTCCCCCGGTGGCTCTACCCCCGCCACTCACAGAGCTCAGGGACCTACTGAAATAAAGAACTCTAAAGCTTCCCCAGGCCTCCAGAGGATCTCCGAAGCGTCTGAGAGCAACCGGGAAGTAGTTCCCTCCTCCCTCTGGCCCTGTACCCCGCCTTTGATTTCCCTGTGACCTTTGACAGTCGTCTTCTGGCCGCCTGAGATAAGGGAACTGTGTCACTGCTGCTCTGAGTGATAGCAAGGAAGTGATGTCAAGGTGCTGAGACCTGCCAAGACCCTCTGGCTTGCGGCATGTGACACTCTGAGTAGGTGACAGGTACCAGCTACCGTCAGCAGAGAGGAATGTTCATGGTGACCACGAGTCCAGACCTGAGGGTCCTGATCCTCTGAGGTGGCCTCTCACCAGTGTTTACAGAAACCCACCCGCTGATTCGATATGGGGACCAGGAAGCTGCCGTGAGAGTCACAGTGTTTGGGTTTTTATTGTCATTTTTGAGGGACACTGTGTGCTTTGTCTAAAGACTGAGGCCTCAAAAGAGAATTCCAGGAAAATGGAAGCTACAGGGTGATGTCAGTTGGGAAAAGGCCAGGGGCAGAGGTGGGGCCTCAGCAGCAGCGAGCATAGGGCTGCCCCGGGTGTCAACATGGAGGAAAGCAAAGGGATTTGCAAGCAGCCGGAAGTGATTGGTGCTGGGGCTCATGGGGGAGCTGACGCCACTCTGCAAAGGAGAACCCAGAGGAGGAAAGTCCTGTGGTGACGACACAGAGGTGACATCAAGTCGCGTGGGAGAGAATATGAGGGGGACAAGTTTAACTCCAAACTGAGGCTGGGGGCTAGGGTAGGTTTGATGCCAGAGAGAAGGAAATTGAGAGAACAGCCCAGATTTGGAATGGTGGGAGGAGGCTGTGTGGAGGGGAGGCTGTGGGAAGAGGGTGGGAGGGGAGGGCACGGTTTGGAAGAAGGATGAACTGAGAAGAGGAACTTGAAAATACTGAAAAAATCTAGATGAGCTGCTCTTGGGTCAACAACTCAGCAGCTGCGACTAACCTAATTTGGGGACCAGACCTATTTGCTTAGAATTTATATATTGATTAAATGACGTCCTTTTCACACCACAGATGTGTCTGAGGTAGGATTGAATACAAAATGTGTACCTGTCAAAATAGAAAATTAAGAAACTAGCCTGGCACTGCGGCACGTTCCTATAGTCTCAGCTGCTCAGAAGCCTGAGGTGGGAGGGTTGGTTGAGCCCAGGAGTTCGTGGCCAGCCTGGGCAACATAGTGAGACCCCGTATCTATAAACAATATAAAAATTAGCCAGATGCAGTGGCAAGTGCCTATAATCCCAGACATTCGAGAGGCTGAGGTGGGATGATCACTTGAGCCCAGGAGTTTAAGCCTGCAGTGAGCCACGATCATGCCACTCTGCACTCCGGCCTGGGTGGCAGAGCCAGACGCTGTCCCTGGAAAAAAAAAAAAGAAGGAGGAGGAGGAGGAGGAGGAGAGGCGGGGAGAGGAGGGGCAGAGAGAGAACTATTAAGAGAAAAATAAACATACAAAGAGCCCAGACAAATATGTGATTGAGCATTAAACTTAACTCCATGTGTGCCAAAAGTCAAGGCAGAAAGAGAAACACGGTGATGTTCGATGGCAGAGGGGTTGGTGCTGGCGGGAACCTAAGCTGTAAGTGCCCTTTTCTCTCTCGTGTGGGTCTGCTGTGAGTGAGTGAGTGGGGGTCACCATGCCCTGGGACACTCTTCCCACCCTCTGCAGCCTGGGATCAGCAGTGGCCCCTCCTCCTGGGTCTCTCCAACTCCTGCAGCTGGGCAGGAAACTCAGGACCTTGAATGAATAGGTGCGGGCAGCTTTACTTTCCATGCTTATGGATCAGTTCCAGAAAAAGGAAGGAAAGTCAAGTCAGACTTTGAAACTTGCAAAACCCCGGGAGTACACACACTCTTCCTCATTAGTGGAGGACAAAAACAGCAGTTGGGCACCTCATGTACCACATGTCACAGAATCATGTGAGCTGTGAAATTTCCCAAGGAAAAACACAGAATAATGTGAGGTATGAAGTTTCCCAAAGAAAAATGTTTTGTAAATTCGGGATCACCCTGACTTCCTAATATTAGCATGGCCTTCACTTTCAGTATTATTTTATTTTTGCCTGATTCCCAGCATTCTGCCTATCCACATTCAGGCCATGAGGTCCTTGAAACTTCTTCTACGTAGGAAGGAAGGAAGAGTTTAGAAGGCTGCAGTTGAGGGGAAAGGAAAGTTCTCTTTATCATTCTAATATCTGAAGCCATAATGGGGCCTCCTCCTTGTGAAACAACACCACATTCTGCAGCCTTGGCAAGTGGCCCACAAACCTTACTTTTGAAGGTCTGAGTTCCTCTTTATCGCTGTAATTCATCCCCAGTTTTAGTCAAAGGAACTATCACTGTATACTCTCATTCCCCACTTTGTGTAGATCAGTCATTTACTCAGCTGAATTACTCAGTTAGTATTTCTAGAGTGCCTAGCCTGTGCCCAGCTCAGTTCCAGGTGCTGGGGATGCATCAATGGACAAAACAGGCAAAAATCCTGACCTTCATGGAGCTCACATTCTACAGACAGAAACTAAGCAAGTAAATTGTAGGTTAGTAGGAGAGAAGTGCTGTGGAGAAAGTGAAGCAGGGAAGGAGAGCAAGAGAGGCCAAGGTGGCTCAGGGATCACGTTTTAAATAGTGTAGTCAGAGAAAGCCTTGCTGAGAGCTGGGCGTGGTGGCTCACGCCTGTAATCCCAGCACTTTGGGAGGCTGAGGTGGGTGGATCACTTGAAGTCAGGAGTTTGAGACCAGGCTGGCCGACATGGCAAAACTCCATCTCTACTACAAATGCAAAAATTAGCCAGGAGGGGTGGCGGCGGGTGCCTGTAATCCCAGCTACTCAGGTGGCTGAGGCAGGAGAATCACTCGAAACCAGGAGGCGGAGGTTGCAGTGAGCCGAGATCCTGCCACTGCACTTCAGCCTGGGTGACAGAGTGAGACACCATCTAAAAAAAGAGAGAGAGAGAGAGAGAGAGAGAAAGAGAGAGAGAGAGAGAAAGCCTTGCTGAGATGATGGGCACCAAAGCCACAAATGGTTAGGTCCAATAGTTCATGATCATTATCTCATTCTTTCTTGTCACTAAGTTCTTATATCAGGGAGGTGGAAAACACACACTGGGTGATAACCTTAGCAATAATTTTACCGAAGACGCAGACATTCTTCTTAATATATTGACCCTCAATAAAAAAGGCAAAGGATGTGAGGCTCCAGTTATCGATTTCTTGCCTTTCAGCTCTTCATCCACCCTTCTGTGTTCTGCCTTGTGAGTCTAGAGCTGGACCCCATACACATTTCTCCTTTGCCAGCTGCTGTAGAAGGCATAAGAGGGTCACAGTAAGAGGCAGAGTTTTTTCTTTCTGGTTCCAGGATTTGTTTTTATTTTGTTTTTGTTCTTTTGGCTGATTTGCCAGTGCTGGGTGGAGACCCTGCAGTGCCCACTGCCCGGTGAATTTTGCCAACAGCATGACAGTGGCTTCCTGCTGACTTTTGCTGGCACTCTAGTGGGTAGCTTCCCAGTAAATTTTGCTGGCACCCCAAGAGCTTCTTCCTCGCCATAGGCATGCCCACGTTCTTGGAAATGTCTCTGGTACCCCTTCGGGCAGTTTCCTGCTCACCAGCCCCAACCTGCCACAACTCAGCAAACTTCTTGGGCATCCATTGGGTTGCAGCCACACCCCCTCCAACAAGTGTGGATCAGCTGGGGAGGGAGGGCATTTTTTAGTTTGCCCCTTCCTTGGCTGCTCTGCCTTAGCTTAGAGGTCGTGGCTGCTCTCTACATCTGCCATTCCTGCATTCTTTAGAGTTCTCCTTACCCCCTTTAGTAGTTCATACCCTTTTATAAGTTAATAACTCTTTATATGTAATGTTCATTGTTCAAACTACTGGCGTGGTTTCTGTCTTGACTATATGCTGATTGATACACACATTAAATTTAGTTTAGGGAAGGGATGGGAGAACGCTAGGATGATGCCTTTTTTAGAGATCTGACTTGATCTTGAGAAATAGGTATTAGACCAAAGAGCTAAAAACAGAACTACCATTCAACCCAGCAATTCCATTACTGGGTATATACCCAGAGGAATATAAATCCTTCTACCATAAAGACACATACATGTGAACGTTCATTGTGGCGCTATTCACAGTAGCAAAGACATGGAATCAACCTAAATGCCCGTCAATGATAGATTAGATAAAGAAAATGTGGCACATATACACCATGGAATACTATGCAGCCATGAAAAGAACGAGATCATGTTTTTTTGTGGAAACATGAATGGAACCGGCGGCTATTATCCTTAGCAAACTAACACAGGAAGAGAAAACCAAATACCTCGTATTCTCACTTATAAGTGGGAGCTAAATGATGAGAACACATGAACTCAAAGAAGGGAACAACGGACACTGGGTCTACTTGAGATTGGAGGGTGGGAGGAGGGAGAGGAGCAGAAAAAATACCTATCGAGTACTGGGCTTAATATCTGAGTGATGACATAATTTGTACAACAAACCCCCATGACAAAAGTTTACCTATGTAACAAACCTTCACATGTACCCCAGAACCTAAAATAAAAGTCTAAAAAATTATTATTTAAATGCATGATAACAAATGTGGAAAGTTTCAAAAAAAGAAAAATAAGTATTAGAATGTTTAGACTGATGATAACTTAATCTGTCCCTTACTATGGCTTCTTCAAATACAATCTTTCTTAGATTATCAATTAATCAATCCATTATCTAATTTTTATTAGCAAATAATGTTACAGAAAATTTTTATAGAGAAAAACTATAATAGTGATAATCTCACATAATAACCATTATAAGTTTTAAATAGTACTACTTCTTAATGGGAAATGTAGAAAAACTACTTTTAGAAAACAATCAATTTTCTTCTGAATTAATTGTTTGATATTGATTAGTAGATTGAAGAGGCAAATAACGGCATATAATTTTACAGCTTCTGAGACCATCTTATCCTGCCCCAGATTTTCTTTCCTGTAGTTGGCTGATCCCTAAAATTCCACTCAGCACCCAACACATAGTAGCTGTGATACCTGGGAGGGCAGATAATACTTCTAAAATGCAACTGTGTTGATAATCCACCCTGGAAATACAGATTTTATATGTGCTTACTGGGAGGGAAATAGTGTTAACTATTCCCTAAAGCAGTCTTTCTCAATGCATGTTCAGTTTATTCTGCAGTATACTAAAAAGTGTAGAAAAAAGGACGGGAGGCTATTGCTCATTTAAGTTTGAAAAATAGCTGGACTGAAAAATTAAAGCAAATTTCTTTACTACAGGACTTCTCA